CAGGACAATGAGTTAGGCATCAGTTCTGAAGTTGAAATGGTTCCTCTTGCTATACATTATCACTTAGTCAAGCTTCACAACACGAAAAGGTTCCCTTAATTATTCCTATTATCAACAAAAACTAAAACAATTTGCAACACTCTGGTTGGGTCTGGCAGAAGGATTCTCTGGTTGCTTCACCACAAAGATTGGTTTCAGACCTTCTTCGGTACTGCTGTCTCGAGGTAAATGTTGTTGAAAACTGACATGCGATGCGGTTGCCAGACAAGGTACATTATGCTTGGTGATTACTTATGGAGGAAATTCCAAGATTTGAAAATAGCTCATTTACATAGAGGTGTACAAAATGTGGGCAGATCTAACTCCATAGAGGTGTTGTGCTGTCATGCGACACATTGGTGGGAGGTGCACAGCTTAAACCTTTTTTTTTCAAATTTAAGGGGGGGAGGGGGGGTCAGGTCAGCAGCCCTCACCAAAAATATGGGCCGGGAGGGGGTGGGGTCGGGGCCTCAGGGTACCTAAGCCAGTCGATAGACACTGACAGCATAAGAAGTACAATAAACTATCTTAACTTTGCTTGCCATATCCTGTGGATATGAGCTGCAGTGTCGGTTATCTTCTTCTTCTTCGCGTTTACCAGCTGTAAACTCTGGCGGAAAGTTCTGGTTGTTCGTCCACTTCTGAACTGCAGTCATGCTCCAGAACCTGAGTGTTGCGTGTGCATCAGTGTTACAGATCTGATTCAATTGAATGCAGACTGTTGGTTCCTTGCCCCTCAGGCAAATGCTTTTCGGTAGGCAATGGGTCTATTCTTGTTTTTCCCATAATGGGGCCCCGTAATGTACTTGCCTGGTAAGACAGTGCCATACCTAGGATGTGTGAAGGTCTAACACTTGATACCCCCACGACAGAATCTGCTAGGTTCTGCTTTAAAAAAAAAATATACTTTACTTTGGTGAGGATAATTGACATTTTATAATTTTGGAGCCATATATGGGTTCCGGGGCCTCGTTTTAAAAGGGGGTGTGTGTGTGTGGGGGGGGGGGGGGTGGCGGCTATTGGCTCAAAACAAGCATTTCGTAATAGGGGACTTATTAGGATTTTGCTAAAATAGAATGTGTTGGGCAGGAGGGCTCAGATATCACAGCCTAGCTGTAAGCCACAAAACAATGTGTCAACTTCCCTTAGCAGACGAGTAATGTATTTTAGATACATGGCAAGGCAAATCTTGTTTTAAAATGTTACAAACACGTGACAAAGACACCATGCTGCTTTCTGTGCGGAAGTCACGTGTGCGCGGGAAGAACATGCGCCCTAGCAAGATAGCTGTTCTTGTTCTTTCTTCTTTCACTGGGTTTTATAATTGATACAGTCCTACCAAGAGGTAGAGTTTCCCTCACAAAGAAGTCGTCTTCCTCACAAAGAGACTGAACTTTGGGCGAGACTTCCGTTCAGAAACTACAATAGAGTCAACGCTTTGAAAGAATAGTTGGTAGAATGATGGTTTCACGTGTCTTTGTTGTACACAGAAGCTGTGACTTTGAATTGAGTGAGTTGGGAAGAGGTGGGGCGGGGGGGGGGGGGTGTGTGATGTGCGCACTTGACTGATCTTCTTTTTGTCATGCCTTCACGATGCCAAGCTTCCACTACTGTATGCCTCGTATACAATGGACGCCTCCACAGGCCTTTAAAAAAAAACAGTTTGTGTGTTAAATTTTTGTAGTGTTCATTTACCTCTTATGATACAGTAGACTGCTTCCTTGGGTAAACATGCTATAGCGGTTAATAGATTTTATAAACAAGAAAGTGCTGTCATTTGGGATAATCAATCTTCTCCTCTCTGTCCGTAACGCGCCCTTCCTCCTCCTTCTGCTTCTTCTTCATCTGCTTCTTATTACTCTTCTTCTTCTTTCTTTTTCTTCTTCAACTTCCTTCTTCTTTATCTTCTTCTGAATTTTATCTTCCACTGAAGCATAAGCCTTTTGTACATGCTTTTGGATTTTTCAGATTAAATGTCAAGACATATATAATTATAACAACAGATTTCATTAACAAGTTGTGAAAATCTTGTTCGTCCATTCACAGATTCCTTCATTTTTCAAGTTAAAAGAAAACTATCCAGGCTATGCACACTTCGGGGGTGCCTTCCACAACCATCAACTCATTGAAGCTATTGGCTGCAATACCAGTCTTCTGCTTCATGACACCAGTGCTCTGCGCCTGTCCACAGCATTCAACCAAATTGGAGGTGTGCACTCCCTGGGCAAAGAATTGATCAGGTTGTCTAAGTTTGGTCGGGACAGTGTCAGTGGGAGTGATGGTCTTCAGTATATTTACCATCCTATAGCTTATGGGCCGTATCTGGCTGACAAGTATGGGTATCCTAATGTGTCAAAACTTCATGAACTGGATCCAGTGGACACAAAGAAGGTACAGTATAGCATTAAATGAGAGGGGTATAATATAATACATTGTTTGGTAATAACTGAAACTACAGTTTCTTGAAGGTGGTAGGCACGAACAAATGAGAAGTCACTAAACTTGATAGGTGTCAGAAAGCAAACCATGCTGCAGAGTATACTGCTGTCTACGTCTGTTGTATGCAGAAATGTGGGAGAGGGAGGGGGTGGGGGACCTTTGTAACAAACGGGAGAGTTGTTAAGCCAAGAACTGACATCCATCATTCAGGATATTCTCATAAGCCTTCTCTACTCATCTTGAGCAGCCACTGAAGAAGCATAATTCTGATGGCGCCATCTAATGATATTTCTATCTCACCTTTCCCCTGAGTGTAGAGTTTCGGCCAGATCCCCTTGTCACTCCCAGCTGTACCACTCTAACCAGATCCTAGTGATCTGTTCGTACCTCTGCATTATTCACTTGTTCTGAAAGAGCCATGACTTTATTTAGCTTGTCGTGCATCACTGCCCAGTGGTGCAGAACAAGCCAGTATGTCTGGCTGTTCATTTCTCAACACATCTGCATGCCATTAAGAAAATATCAAAAAGAACCTCTAAAGCCATGCTTGTCACTTTGTATGCAGCATGCCTGTCTCTGCCTTCTTAGCATGCTTTGTGCAGCTGATTTTCAAGCAGCAGAAAGCTGCTGTGACTGCCTCCACCTCTATTCTCAAACTAGATGCTATTGTATCAAATGCTAGGCTTTGTTACACTAATAATCCGTTTGTCTTTGCAGTGAATGCCCCTCTCCTCTCCCATCCCCTGCACTTCTGTAAAAATCTATGCTGAGCGAGAATGGTATTCTGGTCTACTTAATGAATACCAAATTCAAAGCTGCATGGAACTTAAGAACTCCAAAACGATACATCAGGAGAACTCACATGACTGTAAACATCAACTAAAAGAATCAGAAAAAAGATTCCTAAATGAGAAAATAAAAGAAATGTCTTTTCTATAAAAAATTTATTTTGTGAATCTCTTATTGTGGATAGTCAATGTGCAGATTGTCCTTTGGTACTGTCTTAAAAAGAAAGTCTCTGCACTAAGCTCACTTGATAGATGCAGGCCTTTTTTTAGGCCTCATTAGATGTAACTATTAGCGCATACCATTTACAATAGAATGCCTTCCAGAACATGCACAACTTACCCTACAACAGTCATTCTTCACAACCATCCAGCTAATCAAACCAACCAACTGTCCTTGCAATCTCAGCTAGTGGTTACATCATCTTCATCCTTTGTGTGATGTTAGACTTATATTCAAATCCTCCAGTCCATTCTAGTGCATGCAACTTTCTCTATTTCTGACGTGGAGTTCAGCCCAGCATTAACTGCCTCTCCTAATAATGTTCTTCCCAATGTTTCCCATGCCCATCCTCTTTTTCTCAAACTTTCTGTTTCTTATTTCAGTGCCTGTTTTGTAATTCTTTGCTCATTTCGTCACAGAGTGTACCCAAAATTTCTCCACCCTCTTTTTCAATGGTTACATCAGACCTATAATAACTGGCTGAACTTCGTTCAATAATTTATTGATTTGGTTAGCCTTTCTGAGGTTTTTCTCGTTTTCATCATCAAACATACATAGTAAATTCAGCTGATGGCCTCCTGCTGTCAGGTTTTCTATGTTTTGACATCAGGCAGCTGTTTATCCTTTAGTAAATTAGGAATATTTAAATGTAGGATATGATTCACAAGAAGAAGCCATTCATTAGTAAATTCCAATGTCTTCCAGTTTATTGGGTAAATTGAATGGAACGTGATACAGTTAAGCACCTGTTGTGTTCCAACCAACTATAATAGAGACTAATATGAGAAAAAGCGTAATCTACCTGTAAGATGTGTTGACGCCACCTCATCCAGTAGAAAACATTAGCAGAAACATTCATTCAATCATGAAAAAGTTTACAAAGGTTTCAATAGGCTGAATAATGGCCATTTCTCCACTGGGGAATTATAACACAAAATTGTAAAGAGGAGTAAACTTCTTTTAAGATAGTATTAGACCAGTATTAGAGTCAGTATTTCACATTGTTCATCATAAAACTTCTGCTCCAATTTTTGACACATTCATAAGCATGAACTGATTTCAGATTCTGGAGTTTTTGTTCAGGATTTATAATACATTACCACCATATGGGTTCTGGGGCCCCATTATGGGGGAAAACAAGAATAGACCGACTGCCTCCCCAACAAGCCTGTCGTAAGAGTGGACTGATTGGGGCCTCATTCAGAGTTTGAGTGCATCTGCCTGAGCGGCCAGGAACAATTAACTGCACACAAATAAGCCAGTAAAACAGATATACACACAAAACTCAGGTCCTGTCACAAAGCCAAAGACCAAATGGATGAACAGCCAAGACTTTCCTTCGGAGCTTACAGCCAGTGAACTAAGAAGAAAATACATTGTTTCTTATCAACTGTCCTTTAAGCTTGAAGTATACATTTAAGAAATACAGGCAGCCATCTTGTTATTTTATCCTTAGGACCAAAGCAAATCTTACAACTCCTTGTTTTGACTCTTGAACTTTTTTTTCTTTACAGAATTTCTGGGGTAAACAAGGAATACTCCGGGTGATCACCTACACAAAGAATAAAAACATGCCCAAAGGCCATGTAGCATTGTGGGATTGTAATCATGTTTATCAGGCACAGGATTGGATGGCAGGACACAATCTGGTCACAGTTGAATTCTGGCAGTCTCCAGGTACATGTTTTACAAAGCTGATACAGCCGTGGGTGTTTAAAAAAAGAAAACTCATGTTTCACTTTGCTATATTGATTTCTGTAAAAACATCTTATACGTAACATCAGAACTAAGAAAGTAGCAAGTTTTTTAGTATTTACATAGACAACTCTGTTTCCAGCTGGCCAAACATACCATTCAAGGACATATCTTTATTTTTACATACAAATCAACTCATCACATAGAAAATACCCAGGCTGAATTTATAATAACTTTCTGATCTCATGTCATAGTAAAACTCTATGCCATGGCTTTATAATATTCTTTACTTTGAAAACAAAGTTTTTATAAGTCATATTAGAGTTTGGACTAAGTCACCACCCTTCAAGAGCAAGTCGAGTCCCAAGTCATTGCCACTAAGTCCCAAGTCAAGTCTCAAAGTCACCAAAAAAACTTTCAGCTCGAGTCATGAGACTTCATGTTTCAAGTCATTTGCAAGTCATGCAAGCGACAATGCTTATGGATCAATCAAAAATGGCAAAAATACAAAATCGAAAATGGTAGTGTGAAAAACTCACTAACTGTGTAAAACAGCTGATGAAGTTGAATGTGGAAGCTTAATAAATCAAAACAGAATTTATTCTGTCCTGTTTTGTATAAAAAAGATGTGATACTGATCAGCAAACCTCTCAGTGGCCAGCATGAAGAACGAGTTGTACCAAGTCCTCTAAGCTGAAAGTTGCATTAGGATTCACTAGATGAAACCCCAAGTTGAGCCACAAGTGATTAATTAAGCAAAATGAGTTGGACTCGAGTCCAGGTCATGCATCTTGTCCTTAGCTCTGAGATATATATATTGTGTTTGTTTTCGAGGTAAAATAATGTAATTTACATAGGATAAATAGTATAAAATTGTTGTGACTGTCTGTATCAATCATTTTATCTTTATCTTTCAGATTCAGATTGCACTCATATGCCAGATATACCCCCACCTCCAGCACACCCAGATGTGAGTAGGATCTTGGCCGAGGTCAGACCAGGTGCCAAACCTGTCAAACTTCGACACCGACATTGGGAGAAAAAATTTATTAAAAAATATTATCAGCTGCACAAAACAAGTTAGCTCTTTCAGTCAGAAACAATGTCATGTGAATTTGGTTTGTTTACAGGAATCCTAGCCATCACATAATGTGTTCTCAAGCATTTTATATTTCGTCAAGAACATATGAAAGAAAGAAATCTATTTCTTTTATGACATCCGTTACACATTGTTTAACCTTTAAAAATAATGCAAATGCAGCAGTGGTTATCAATGTGGTTATCAGATGTAAAAGCTTGCAGGACTGAAAGATGTAAAAACATCTGTGGATTAGCAGACAGTGTTTCAGCCATGTTCATTATATACACTAAACTTCACTGTGTAAGAAGTGTACAGCAATCCTGAAGTGCTCTCACTGTTTCTGAATTTGGCAAGACCTCGGAGTTTATGTTTTTGAATAAAATTTGATTATTTCATCAATTAAAGCACTTGATTCTATACACTGCATGTAACTAGAAACAGATGAAGATATATAACTGTATCATTTTCTAAACTTGTGTTGCCCCATAAGAATATAAAAAAATTAACTTTTTTTTTCTTTAAAATTTCATTGGAAAGAAACATGTTTCTCTTTAAGAAACTAGGGAAGGAAAAGCAGAAAAAGAAGAAATGTGGAGTCTGTCAGTTTTCATGAAAATCCAGTGTGTTAAAACCTATAACTATCAAACAGACAAGCAAGTGTTATGGCCACTTTCATGTCGCAGCTGTCAGATCATTAAAAATTTCATATCAATTTTTGTAATTCACTTTTGTACACGAAATAATTTTTTTTTGAAGTCAGAGAATTAATCACTAGATCCAAATAGAGGAAGTAATTAACTGCTTTATTTTCTTTTTCTTTTGTATCCCCTTGTTTCATTACAATTTTTAGTTTTATTGAAACCCCACTCTGGCTTTTGCCGGGAGCCCTAAATATAGCCGGGCCTGAAATATGGCCTAACAGCTAACAGGGTTCCGGGACCTCTCCACTGGTGATCCTCATCCACATAATGGCATTTTGTGTCACCGGGTGTTTATCGCTTGTGTGATGTCCTAGTGTGGTACAACTTACTTTCTATTTTCTATTGACCACGACAAAGGTGATTTTATTTATTCAGCCACATGAAGCTTAGTGATGTCATATGAAACTTTCTGAAGTAAATGATGATATCACAATTTAAAAAAAATAAAAGGGTTTTTTCCAACCCTAAATAACATCAAATTTTAGAAGGATAATAATAATTATGCCCACTATATCTACACACCGTGCATTTGCAACCATAACCAAAGCTGTTGTATATATTAGGTGTATTTGCAACCATAACCAAAGCTGTTGTATATATTAGGTGTATTTGCAACCATAACCAAAGCTGTTGTATATATTAGGTGTATTTGCAATTTTCCAAAGACTCCCTGTTAACCAAAACCATATATGCTAGGAAAAGGGCTTTCTCAGGATGACAAGGTAGAAGTTTATACCCTTTGTTGTTGATCAGTAGGTCCATGTCTGTCCACAGCCTTCTGTCACATGTAATGCCAGTAATATATGATACAGATCTGTCATTGTTTCTAGCCATGATGCCAGACTGTCGCACATTTTCTTTGTTAGTTTCCTCCCACCTTCCCTACCCTCTAACTTTCCTGTTGTTTTATAATGTGCTACAGTTTTCTTCTCATAACATACCCAGTGTAGATTGTCTACTACTGATGCTGGTAACCAGTTATCTTTGTGATTCATTTTCTTTCAAGGCTTCTTTATTATGCTTTAAATGTGTCAATGGTTATCATACTCCTATAAAACCAGATCAGTTTTCATGTAATTTTTCACTCTGCTTGTTCTGCATTATTCATTTTCATATATCAATATTGTCTCCATATAATTAAAAAAAAATAATAATTGAAAATTGCCAGAATTCTTTCACAATTTTCTCACAAAGTTTGCTCAGTCAAACTAAGTATCTGGCTTTTACTCTATACACTGCCGGTGTAAATGTATTTTCCATGCAGTAATTGAGTTAGATATTTCCAGCAGCATTGCATTTATAGTATTTATATTTGCTTGAACCAGCTGCTGACCTATGACTGTATCATGTGTAATTCATTATACCAGCATAACACTAATGATGTTGTGACATTATTCTCATGCTGTTAACACTTTACATAGTGAGAATTCTTGATATGTGAGAATTATCATGAGATGGGAAATTGGAAGAAAAATATGCACATCAGAAAAAGAAGAAAACAGCAAATGCACAGATAGTATCACTAGAACCTTAAATACGTACAGAATAAATAGACCTAGGGTAGCAAACATGACTCAGAAACAGTAACTGTACTTCACTTTCCTCACATTCTTTCTAACTACTCATTCACCATGTTCACATCAAATGTGGCACCAAGCCATCCCAATATGGGATGCAGTTTTTTGGGTTATTATAAAGCCCCACCCCAGCTGTGGTCAGGGCCCTAATATAACCTAAAAGCTGAACAGGGTTTCTGTGACGTGTCTCCGGGTGATCCTCATCCAAATGGTGGCTTTTTGTGTCACTGGGTGTTTATTGCTCAGTGTGATGTCCTGGTGGGGTTGAACATCACAAAATATGCACTAAAATATAAAAGTAGTAGTTGACTAGTCCTACCTACTTCAGGCTTTAAATGAACAGGACCCATTTTCATGCAAAAGCCTGATTTTTTTTTTTTTTTTAAAAGACCAATTGGCACTAGATAAGTTTATCATAATCGTGAGCTGCTTTTCATTTTCCTGCACTTTTCCTGATGCTTATTTTAGGCTGTTTCAGCTAAAGAACCCAAGTTATCCTTTTGTGCAGAGAAATTGTTACCTTAAGGGAGATTCAACCACATGAAAGTCAGGCTAGCAGTCAGTTGTGTTATTCATTGTTGTACCACAGCTTCCTTGGTAATTTATTTATACATTAGGCACTAATTTGTTTTAATATACTTGTGCAGAAGGATGCTTTAGAATATATGTTGCACAGTCTGCTTCTGACTTAACCACACTGGGTAAAAAGTACACTATTGGTGTTAGCAGAAAAAGAGTGTTTGTACACCCACCTAATTATGTGATAGTAGATCAGGAAGCTAGTCATCTCAAGTATAACAGTTTAAAACTATAAGGAAATGTGTGCAAAGATATAGCAAATCTCTCCACAGTTGGAAATTGAAAAGTAGAAGCTAAATAAGCTCTGGTCATGCTAAACTCAAAGAAACCTTAGAAAACATGCCCATATTTGGAATTGGAATAAGATAGTTGAAGTTAGTTGCATATCCTTTGCAAAAACGACTCTGGATTTTTTTTGGCTGTTGGGGTTTTTCAGTCACTGAGCCATTTGAAAACTAGTGAAAAGCATGTCTGGCTCAGCAAAATCTCTAGAGTTGATCCTCATGACACCGGTTGCCGAATAATTTTCTTTATTATTGTCTGAGAAGTTAAGGTAATGAGGAAGGGAACTGGCTACACTACCTCATACGATGTGACCTAAAATATGACAGGGCCTAAGACTTGATACCCTCTTTACAATATCAGCCATGGAACTCCTTTTACCTTTGACCCCTGTTTAAAATATTTTTGTTGAAAAGATCAGCACAACCAGTTTCGGCGACCACTTCATCCATTGGCTCACCAGTAGGTCACGGGTCAGGACAGTATTTGGGTCTGTCTCCTTTGATTGCATCAATACAGCAGGAGTCCTTTTCAGGGCATTTGGGGGCATACAGTGCTAAGCCATTTTATATGGCGCACATAACCTAGTCACAATTATAACCTAAAGCTCCCCTTTAGAGACGCATGACAATTTTTTTCCCTAGCAAAGCATGACCACTACAACCAGCATAACCAAGTAGAAATCTGGCCTCATGAAATGCACTGATGATTAGCTTACTTTTTATGTTGGCATTTTATGGTAACCCTATAACCCAAGACTGGGTGTTTCCTTCATGGTAGCCCTATAACCCAAGACTGGGTGTTTCCTTCATGGTAACCCTATGATCAAAGACTGGGTTTTTCCTTCATGGTAACCCTATGACCCAAGACTGGGTGTTTTATTCATAGTAACCCTGTGACCCAAGACTAGGTGTTTTCTTTATGGTAACCCTATAACCCAAGACTGGGTGTTTCCTTCATGGTAACCCTATGATCCATAATTGGGTGTTTCCTTTATGGTAGCCCTACAAGCATGATTGGGTGTTTCCATCTTGGTAATCCTATCAACTAAAGTAGGTTGTTCCATTTCTTGATCATAATCCTTCAAGCATGATTGGGTGTCTCCTTCATGGTAACCATAGCACCATGATTAGATTTGTTTTCTTCATCATAACCATATAACCCATGATTGGGTGTTTTCTTTGCGGTAGCCCTACGACCATGATTGGGTGTTTCCTTCGTGTTAACCATATGGCCATGTTTAGGTGTTTCCTTCATGGTAACCTTGTGTCATACATTTGGGTTATGGGTTTGATTTGATTGCAATAATGACTTTGTCCAATGATAAAAACACATAATAATTGACTAAATAATAGATTTATGCATGATATCTAGTAAAAGTTAATTTTCTGTGAACTTTTGACATTCCCAAACAATTGTTTTTTTCAAAATTTCTTATTTTGTTTTGGACTGTCAGTTATATGATTTGTGTGTGTGTGTGTGTGTAAATTGCAGAACTGTTCTTTTAAAGAAATGGAAAGCCTTGACTGAGAATATTCTGGAAAGCCAGTTCAAGGTTAATCAGGAATTTGACCAGGATTTCATTGATAACCCATAACAAATGTCAGCATTTATGTAATCATATAATTAGCCTTGTCATCTCAGTTTTGCTATTTTCACAGAGAGAGAGAGAGAGAGAGAGAGAGAGAGAGAGAGAGAGAGAGAGAGAGAGAGAGAGAGAGAGAGAGAGAGAGAGAGAGAAAGAGAGAGAGAGAGAGAGAAAGAGAGATCAGTAGAGGACAAGGCAACTGAAAATTAAAGAAAACTGGATGAGTGAATAAGCAGGTTATAATTTGAAATTTATAAAAGTAATTTGATTGAAATT